CTGGTCGCCTCTGAGCTGCTCTTTATACGGCGGGCTTCAGTGTGTGTGTGTTTCTGTGTGTGTTTCTGTGTGTGTGTGCTTGTGTGTGTGTGTCTGCAGCTGTTTTTCTGAGGGATGGGGGAGAGAGGAGCGAAGAGGAGGAGCCCCCCCGTTGGTCCAGAGAGGAAGAGGAGGAAGAGTCGCTGCATCATTTCAATTTCAGCCTGAAAAACGAGTTGGACAAAACCAGGTGAGTATGGAAGGTAATTAATGCCTGGAGAAAATAATAAACCCCAACTGCAAAATTGTGAACATTGTTTTCAGTTCAGAGTCGGGGATGGAGGAGGGGAGCAGTGGGACTTCAGAAGAGAAAACTCCATGGAGGGAAACTGTGAAGAAGCACCTGAGAGAGGAAGAGGAAGGCAGTGAACAGGAGTCGAGTGACGGTGAGTGCTTGCATATAGAATTGTTGTTAAATCAATACTTTATGTAATTGTTATTCATGTCTTCAGCAGCAGGAAGTGGAACGCCTCAGTCTGAGACCTTGCCCCCAAGACATGGCTCCGCCCCTGATGAGGAAATGTCCCCGGCCACACATGCCGTTGTCACGGAAACCGCTCCCAGGGGGCGGGGCTCGTTTGACGCCATTACCCCAGATCTGCCGCCATATAAGGGCGTGGGGTCAGAGACAGAGGGGGCGGAGTCTGAGGAGAGGAGGACAGTTGTTCCTGCTGACAGGAAGCAGAAGAAGACTTCAGCCAATCAGAAGAAAGCTACAGGCGATGATGTCATTGATAAACACCTGTCCAAACTGACCTCCGACCTCCAGAGGGTCTCAGTGAAGGAGATCCAGGAGAACCAGGAGAATGCGCCGTATGTTCCACACGCTCTGGCCTTCAAACGAGCATACGCTATTAAGGTACAGACCCCCCCTTACTCTGTAACGTGGTACCACCCCCCTTACTATGTAACATGGTACGCCCCCCTTACTCTGTAACGTGGTATTCCCCCCTTACTATGTAACATGGTACGCCCCCCTTACTCTGTAACGTGGTAACCCCCCCTTACTCTGTAACATGATATTCCCCCCTTACTATGTAACATGGTATTCCCCCCTTACTCTGTAACATTGTAAGACCCCCTCCTTACTCTGTAACATGGTATGCCCCCCCCTTACTCTGTAACATGTACGACTCCCCCCCCTCAGTAAATTGGTCTCTCCTGTTTCAGAGGCGCTCCCTGAGGACCCCCGCCCCTCAAAGACGGACCACCTCATGTCCCCCTCTGGCGTCGGGGGGGATGTTTCTCCCCCAGGAGCCGTCGATCCTCAGCCTGAAGGAGGCGCTGTTCCTGAGGGGGGGGGAGGAGGAGAAGGGGGTAAGGAGGCGGGTCCCGGGGGGGCGGAGGCGGAGACGGGAAGAGCTGCAGAGGCTGCATCGAGCTCAGGTGAGGGGGGTCGTTCAGGTGAGGGGGGGCGC